CAAATATCCACACTATTTTTAGAAATAGTTTTCACAAATTATTATTGGATAAGAGAATAAAGAAAGAGAAAGAAATAAAATTGTAGCGAAATTATTCTGAGTGGATTAGTTTCCAAGAACCATTTTGTATATTACTACTAAATATTTAAGGTGGATGTAAGGGTTAAAGTGTATGAAAATTATATGCAGTAAACATTTCTTTTTCTTTTTAGATTATTTTCTTAAATTTTAATAATGGAGAATTAATCAAAATTTTCTTATTTTTTAAAATTAATTTTTGTCACGTTTTTAGTAAACATTTAGAATTATGAAATTACTGTTAATATAATGTAATAAAAAAAAACAAAATTTTTTTCTACCTTTTAATTGATATAAATTTATATATTTATTTTAATTTTCTTAATTGAAATAAGTTAAATTAATTAGAAATTTACTTTTTATGTATCAAAATGTAATATTACAACTTTGTTAGTCAACATTTATTTTTTAATATCTTATTGTTTTAAGTAATAATATTTTTGTAATTAAAATGTTCACAAAAAATGAAAATTTCTGTATTAATTGGATATGTATTATATTTTATGAAAAATGTATACTGTATAGATTGAATGTTTCAATTTGAAATTTTGTGTCTTCACACTGTATATGATTAGAGATATAAAAAGCGATTGGTCATATACAATTACATAATGTCGTTCATCTGAAAATGGGTTCGCAATGTTTATTATTTTCTTCCCTTTTGTATTAATGGATTAATGGGGTTTTGCGAGGCTCTATGCAAATGACCATTTTCCAATATGACTAATTGATTAATTCCGGTAATTGCCGGACATGAGTGTAATCGGAGATGGCTTTTCGCGAAATTGAATTCGCGCTATTTGCAAAGATTAGAACGTATGAACAGTGAAGTGATGAGGAATATGTGAAGAATAGAAATAGAAAAAAAAAGAAACATAGATGCAGGTGATCAACCTTGGTGTTTCTTCCTATCTTCGAGCGCGATATAAAAATAGGTGTCTCGGCCTTCGGGATGGTTTATTTAAAAGTTTTAGGATTGTCTAGTTTTGCTTTGGGATTACTCTCATACCTTGAAATGAATTGGAATGTATCACAGTCTGTCCGTAGGCGCAATCGAAGATCGCACGAAACTTATCCAATAACATTATCAAACATGAAACAGTGGATACAGTTTTGTCCTAGTCTTTTGTATATATAAATATATATATTTTTTAATGTGTAGAAGAAAAAGATGAGGAGACGCACTAACTAATCTATATGAAATCGGGTCGACTTTGGTGGATGTCCAACGCGAAACTGATCCAGAAAAGTGAGGACCGTTCGGGTCCATCGGCTCCGTCGCCACATCCACATCCACATCCACAGCCATCTCTCTCCTCGCCGTCTCTCCTGGTGCTGTTTTGTTGTCGTCAACGGCGACGATCCCCCAAACTATTCTAAATTTGCCAAACCGAATTGCCCCACTTTTCGCACAGGGATTGAGGAGAGAGCAGACTCACTTTGGCTCATACACAGACGAAAACAATAACTATTTATAAATACACACATCCATCCATCCAAAGTTCTCGTTTTTTTTTCTATACGTTTTGCTTCAATTAAATGGGAGGAAAAGTGTCGAAAACACTAGCGAAGCATGAAAGTGACTTAGCCAGCACGTGGTGCATTTACCTGACAAAACTCAACTGACAACAAAAATTACACAACTATTAGCTATAATTTCAAAGCTATACATTACATATCAATTACTCTTTAATGAAAACAAGTTGAAAGTTCATATCAATATAAATTTTCTTCAAGCTTATGTAAATAATCCTTATGTTACCAAACAACTTCTTACATAAAAACGTAATACTCCATCAAGTAATCTTGAGCATTACCCACACTTTGCTTAATACAACATAAATTTCATCACTGAATTTACTACACAGTTAAAATTTATTTGTATCATAAAAGACAAAATTTATTATAGGTTTCTTTTAATATTTTCATATTTCAGTAAAATTAGATAATTTCATCAAAATTTCAATTGAATAAATTTTATTTTTTAGTTTAACTCAAATGAAATATATATAAATCTTTTAACAGTGAATTTCAATAATAATATCCACGCAAACAAATTTTCATAGAATTTCAAAGTCCGTTTATAAATTTAGATTCTTCTTAAAACCTATAATGTTAACAAAAAATAATTTTTATTTTATTTGGTCTTAAATAATTTAAGCAAATAATGTAATATTATGTAATAATTTACTTATATTTAATTTATCTTATATTTTATTGAATATTTAAGTGCGTAATATAGATTTTGCTATATAATATTAATAAAGTGAGATCAAAAGTTAAGTATCTTAATGATTGTATAAAAGCAGCTAAATTATTGTATAATAACATGTTTGCATTATTTAGCGTCAAGTAGTGAATAAATTGATTCGAATGAAACAAAAAAAATTAAGTCGAAGCTTTTTCATACTTTCATATTTCAGTAAAATTAGATAATTTCATCAAAATTTCTATTGAATAAATTTTATTTTTTAATCTAACTCAAATGAAATATATATATATAAATCTTTTAACAGTGAATTTCAATAAAAATATCCAAGCAAACAAATTTTCATACAATTGCAAATTTATAAACTTTAGATTCTTCTTAAAGTCCATTTAAAAAAAAGATAGCTAATATTATGTAATAGTTTACTTATATTTAATTTATCTTATATTTTATTGAATATTTAAGTGAGTAATATAGATTTTGTTATATAATATTAATAAAATGAGATCAAAAGTTAAGTATCTTAATGATTGTATAAAAGCAGCTAAATTATTGTATAATAACATGTTTGCATTATTTAACGTCAAGTAGTGAATAAATTGATTCGATTGAAACAAAAAAAAAATAAGTCGAAGCAATTTCATCAAGTAGTTGAAAATGATCCCACGAAACGAGTCCACAAATTAACCACTGTTAAAAGAACATTCTTAAAGTCACGTTGCTCAAATTATACAAGACACATAAAATAGTATTGCATAAACATCACATGAAAACTGTAAACATTTTTCCAGAAAATTTTACTGTTTACTGCCAAAAAGGCTTTATGTTCCGAGACGGACACATGACATGTTTTCTTTTTAATTTCTTCCTCTCTGTTTATTTATTTGTTTGTTCATGGTCCAAGGTAATTTTAATAGCAGGAAAATTTGGGTATAAATAAACTTCGTTTTACGATCCGCGTTTCCTTTGCAAAAAAAAAGGAAGCAATAAACAATATATGCGGAATCAATATTTGTCGGTAGTAAAGTTTACTTTAGGTAAGCTTTCCTGTACAGTCGGGATTTTGATTGTCGGAGATTTTGAAGTTGTCGGGATTTCAAGCATTGGGATTTTAATACAGCCGAACGTCGGGATTTCAATAGACGGTTTTTCGGTTGTCGGGCTTGCGATATAGACCCATAAAACTATACTCTTTGAATATTTTATTAAATGAAATACTGTAATTCGATACGAAAATGCAGATAACGAAAGTTCAATCCATTATAATGGAAAAGTTCCATCTTGACAAATAATAATAATATCGTTTCGCAAAAAAACAAGAAAATTGCTTTCGTGTCGCACGAAAGTGCTGAGTCAATAC